CTTTCTTTCTTTCTTTCTTTCTTTCTTTCTTTCCTTCCTTCCCTCCCTCCCTCCCTCCCTCCCTCCCAGTAGTTAGAATACAGCATTACAGGCTAACTCTGCCCATTGCCAGCAGTTCAATTCTCACCAGGCTCAAGATTGACTCAGCCTTCCATTCTTCCGAGGTGGGTAAAAATGAGGACCCAGATTGATGGGGGCAAAGAGGCTGACTCTGCAAACCGCTTAGAGAGAGCCGTAAAGAACCATAAAGCGGTATATAAGTCTGTTGCTATTCGTCTCCACAACTCACCCAAAGCGATGGGATCACTGCTGAGGCCGGGGGTGGCGACAATGATCTGATCCAGGGATTCCTTATTCCCTAACATCTTGAAGACCTGGTGTGGGAAAACCAAAGAGAGATTATTCACGGACAAGGAAACAGCGGATTGGACCCTGGAAAAGTCCAGTTGTGGGTTGGTTGGGGGAAGAAAAATAAAAGGCAAGCAGAAAAGACAGCAGAGTTTCGTGACTCACCGAATCTCTGAAGACGGGGCTGCTGTGCAAAGCCGTGTGTAAGACGCGGAACTCGCGCACGGCGGCCATTTTGTCCACTGGTTCTGTAGAAAAGATAAGCCGTCAAGAGAGATCGGACGCCGCAAGGCTCGGAAAAGCTGCACCGAACGAACCCTCGCCCGGGGATTTCCCCCCATCGGAGGAAGTAGGCCAGTCCTCAACGTGTGACAATTGAGCCCCAAATTTCTGTTGAGGACCTACCTGCAAGAAAAACCCTTTTAAAAAGCAGTTTGGGATCCAAAGCGGGGAAGTTTACCGGGTTTTTGCTCGGGCTCAGGCCAAGATTTTCGGAGGACGTGGATGGTGGAGCCGGACTGAATCCCGTAGAACTCGAGCGTTTGTTCATCCCGCAGTTTCCGCCCACAGTAGATCAGATCTGAAAGGTAGGTGAGATTTATATTCAACTCCCCCACCAGTGGTGGGTTTCAAAAATTGTTGGAACCTACTCTGTGGGTGTGGCCTCCTTTGTGGGAGTGGCTTGCCACCCATGTGACCGGATGGGAGTGGCTGGCTGCCCATGTGACCGGATGGGAGTGGCTTGCCACCCATGTGACCAGATATGATCTACTGTG